GGACACAACTGTACCTGATGCACCCTTCCTGCAAGGGCAGCAGCTCAACATGGGTGGCGATGCCCACCAGATAGACGGCTGTTTCCCTCCTCCCGCGGTGCCGCACACTGACAAAATCCCGCTGGCCCACCACGTTGCCTGGGCTGGGAGCGGTGACTTCGTGTGTCACCAGCGTGTCCGTCCCGATGCGCTGCAGCACCTACCAGAGCGAGGAGCCCCCCGAGGATTAGGCTCCTTATGGCTGGGCGCCCCACGGCCCCCCCCCCCTCCTGGCCGGGGGATGTTAAGCCACTTTAGGGACAGCAGTGTGGGGTGGCAACATGAGCAGAAGCAACACCAAGGCAGGGGCTTGGGGCTGGCACCTGGTGATAATTAAATCCCACTCCCCTGCAGGCTATTAAGGGGGAAAGCGGGTGATTTTTTTTGCAGCCTTTTTTACCTGGGATGGGACTTCATGCTATTTCTTTTTCTGAAGGGACAGGGAATGTGTAGCAATAAATAAGTGGAGGTTGGGGAGCGTCTGAACCAGCCCAGGTGAGCTAGGGCAGGCTTTCTGAGGCTGGCAGCTTGCTTAGGGATACGCTGTGATTTGGGAGCTGAGGAATAAGGCAAATACTCAAAAGAAGCCCAAGACAACACATAAGCTTCTTGGGTGTGACCCTCACAGCGTGATATATTCGGTTTGGCCTCTTTTTTTTGAGCTGTCTGATTCCTCTGAACAGCTTCTCCCCTGACATTAAAGCCTGAGCAACGTCAGAGTCTCCCAGCATGGAAAAACCTCTGCAAACAGGCACTGTGTGGAAAAGAGAGCTTGGAAACGCCACGTTTCTCAATGCCACACCAATAAAGCACATCTTCTCTCCCTGGGGTGATAGCCTGCTCTTTGCAGGGGCACGGAATTAGCTTTAATCCTTCAGCGATCTTAAAAGCCTCGATAAATATGATTTTTTTGGGGATGCTAGCAACTCTGGCAATGCAAAGTCTCGGACCGCCTGCCCGCCATGGCATCACTTGCCGCCTGCGGCGCATCGCTCCCTGCCTTACCTTCACCCGGCTGAGGGACGGGTTCCACTGGGGCATTTGCTCGATCCTCTCGAACAGCTCCCGGTGCAGCCGTGCCACCGGCACGGCCAGGACCGCCTCTGCCCGAAACACCTTGCCCAGCCCGGGAAGGGCGGCACTGGACAAGGTAGCCCCGGTGTCCTGGGAGAGCAGAGAGCCCTGTATCAACCCCTTGCCCAAAACCACCCTGAGAGGCACTGACTATGCCCTGAAATACCTTGCTAATAAATCATCCCACTCCTCTCTTTAATTACTGTTTGGTTTACAGTTGAAAGCTATTATATCGAAATCATGCCACTATGACTGCTTTTTTTTTTTTATTTTAAGCTCCTTTCTAGCTAAATTAAACAATTCAGCAAACAGCTTAATGAACAAGCACCATAAAGAACAACAAAGTCGCAATTTGTTGGGTTTTTCTGCAGAAATGCTCCTGGCTTTCCCTGGGAACATGATTATCTGATTTTCCCCTTCCAAGCTTTTTCCTGCTGTCTATTTACTTTGCAGATTTGCTTGCAAACGTGCTTAACGAAGGCTTGCTTGGAAACCCTCTTTGCCGCGCACACTTTTGCATGGCACGTCTTCTGCACCCACGGTTTCTCTTCAATCAGGAGGAAGAAGAAGAGAAGCAAATCTCCCCTCCCCAGGCTCATTTCTCCTCCTGAGAGCTTTTTCTGGCATGAAGCAGGAAGGGCAAGAGGCAGCCGGGCTTTACCAGCATCGTTTCTGCCTGCCAGCCGGTGTGCTGCTGCAGGATGCTCAGCGCTTGCTGCAGGGCCGTTTCTCCCTGGGTGATGTAGGAGAGGTCCACGCCGGAGAACCGGCTGGGGCCGATGTCTCCGGCAGGCTCGGGGCAGGCGGCTGCAGGAGCAAGGCAGAGGGTTGTGGTTTGGCTCCAGCCAGCAGCTCAGCACCACGCAGCTGCTCGCTCACTCCCCCTGCCCCGATGGGATGGGGGAGAGAATCAGAGGAGTGAGAGTGAGAAACACTCCTGGGGTGAGATAAGAACAGTTTAGTAATTGAAAGTAAAATAGTAACGATAACAATAACAATATAATAATAATACTAATATACAAAGCAAGTGATGCCCAATGCAATTGCTCACCACCCGCCGACCGATGCCCAGCCAGTTCCCGAGCAGCGATCGCTGCCCCC